TGTGATAGGCCCACACAGCTCTTACCATTTAACGAATGGACAGACATGGGCTAATACCATGGCCTCTTAGAAGACGTAAAGTGAAATTATTGTACACTCATCCTCGTCTGGTGAGTGAGGTATCCGTAGCCCAGATTTCTAACGGTACGCAGCGCATATGCAACCCTTCGGTGTTTTAAATGTCCATAGGCAGCCGTAATCACTTGAAATCACGTGCACTGTCTGCTCGCTTACCAACTTTTTAGGTTAAGGAAAAATGCAGGCTTCCATTACCGTCGAGCACGTATGACAATTGTATTTCATTCAAATCCATCTCGCATACCTACGGTGCGTCGTCATATATAAATGTTTATTGTAGTCAGATGGCTAGTTTGTTATAATGAACAGTCAGAAAAACTTTCAACATATAGAAAAGAGAAACCCTTTTCGACGAACAAATTCGGACCTGATATAACGAGCGCGCTTGGCTAAACACGCTCGTATTTATTCACGCAGCGACCGATCGCTTAATTAGAGTTAAAGGATGGTCACCCACTGGGTTATCTTGACTGCCATCGACGGCTGACGCCGAGCGGCATTTCGGTGTTACGGCGGTCGTTATTAGAAATTTGTTACGCCCTGGTCGGTCGCAACCTTTGATTGTCGGGGCGGTAAACGATACAGCGTACGCCCGGCGATGATATTGGCCGCAATCGGTATATGAGGCCGCAGTCAATTATTTTAGACATTACAGTGATGTGATATTCAAATGCATGCATGCAATATCGACGTCGATTGGATCCGCAGAGTGAGTATAATCATGTTATGTAATAAGGGCGGTATGTTATGTTATAGTTAAGATACAACGTGAAAGGTTGGGGGCAGTTTAGGTCTGTGTAGATATCACCTAGTTATTTGAGATTGAAGACTAATCGTGGAGGATTTTAATGGTTAACATTTAATTATCGAAGTACTATTCCATCTATCTTCATAACAAGGGATTTAGGATTTAAAAAAAAAAATTGCCTTATTTTTACACGTAAAGCAAATTTGCGTGTAATGCGACAAATTTTTTATATATTAGAATTTTATTACGATTAACCGATTGATTATATCATAGTAAAGTTTGTTATTTTTACGGATTTTAGCGTACCGGTATCGACTTCCGGATGTGGTAAGTGTTTTTTTAAATCTTTAAATAGGAGTTTTGATAAAGTTGGCCATAATATCCAGTTTTAAAATAACACCCAATATTTTTTGGATAAATCGCACAATCAATAATTATTCCATTTCAAGTTAAAATTCAAAGATCCTTTATCCTACGTATTGATTGTCCAAATACTACTACTGGTGTGAAAAAGAAAAAGCACCGTCCTAAGAATAACCGGCGAAAGCAACTCAGCTGGAGACAATGTTTAATATAATAATATTTCTTATAGAAACGAAATTTCTTTTACTTATTATAGAATTTATCATAAGTAAAAGAAATATAATTGTGGACATGTATAGACCACAATAGTTACAATACTTAAACGGCTATACTTAAGATTAAAATCGTTTCCAGACATACACGAATCACGCTGAAAATACTGAAACTCTCACCGTCAAATGATTGAGCTCGGCGATACCAAATAAGCTGTCATATGCACGCCTAACAGAGATACATTTCTGACGGTAATAATCCCGTGTATATCCACTAGTAATTTTCTTGAAAGCATCCGTAATAACTTTTAAATTTAGAGGAGCTTCAAATACTGCTATATATTTACATATATTATTGGTATATATTTATATATATAATTCTTCTGTGCCTGTGTATGTTCCTTACTCCTTCTAAACGCCTGGACCGATTTTTATTAGATTTATTGTGTCTTCGCTCGATTCGAGAATGGTTTAGATTTACAATTCGGTCCACTGCATCTATTTTTATTTTTCTATTTATAAGTTGTTGGTAGATTTAAGTCGTGTGACACAGCGTGTCGGGTCCGCTAGTGTTATCTTAAAATCATAACCTATCTTTGACATAGGGTCATTTACGATTTTTACAATTTTTTCGAACCTGTTTATTCATATTTCGTCAGTGTAATATTTTATCGCAAATATCGTTAAGGGAAAAAATCTATAACAAATTTTATCTTGATTTACGAATGCAAACGTTATTTTGTGAAATTATTTACTCTAACAACATTGTAAAAAAAACCTTAACACGTTAATAAATGTCTAATCCGTTTAATTAATTACAAACGTTATTTTAATTACCTGGTTATATTGTTCATTATTTTCCATCACTAAAAAATAATAAACGGTCTCTCTGTTACACCGGCCATACTCACATCTTAAAATTTCAATAATAAATCTAATGCCAATGAAAAGGATAGCTCAGGTAATTTCATCTCACATTATATTTGCTTGTACTTTAAATGGAGTACCTGTCTGGAATACTCATAAAAAAGTTATACATACGAATACATAATACTTTAGTACATTTTCATAAGCGAGTTTTAAGCGTATCAATTTAATAAAAACATAAAACCTGGTCACATTATCGGGCGGGCTATGAAGCAAGAATGTAAACTCAGATTTATGCCCTACCGATATTAAAATGCCGTAAAGAACCAATGAGTTTCGACCGTAACTCTCACGTGACGTCATAAAAATCTTCATAATACGGACCACAGATGCTATATTAAATTTTGAATATCGAACGTCCCACGCCGCCTCGGGATCTCGAGCGCGACAGCTTTAGGGCGCTTGCATACACGGCGATAAAATAACCGCCCGCCGGCAGCCGTTCGATATAAAGATCGGAGAAGCTGATTCCGTCTCGTTTCGTGCTCGTTTATTGTTATACCACTGCTTTATCGGCGATCGAGGCCTTATTTGTATACGCGCGAAAACTTTCGCTACCCTGTATGTTGTTCAGTGTGTCCGTGGACTTATTTGACTTTATGGCCATTTTCTACTGCAATTCCGTCATAATGGCTGTTAAAACGTGCATAATTATATGTTTATATTTTGCAGGACAAAGTAGCTGTAAGAAGTCAGCTCTTCAAAATCATTAAACGGGCAACATACATATGCTAGCCGCACGGTAGCCACAAGTTAGTTGTACTATAGCCACAAAGCTAAATAGCTTCGTGGCTATAGTACAACAATAAATACTTTAATTATAACGTTATGTATATGTTTTGCAAGACACCAATTTTGGAGTTACAGTTAAATAGCAAAACGTAGTAAGAATAAAATAATACTTCTGTAAACAGTTATATGTAACTTTTATAACGTCTTATAATGTTATTATGTACAATAAATGTCATAACACTAGCGCATTGAAACTGAGGCACTCAAATTACACCAATTGATGCGATTCTCGAGACTGCTATCTCTTTCCGTATCATACGGTCTGTATCATCTTTCACACTCACTCATGTATATAATTTTTAATGCCTCGCAGTATGGACATTCGTAATCTATATTATTAAACATCATTGGCGTCTTACGACCATGCGTCATTTTTTGATTTCTTTATCATACGATCTTCATTCGACATACGTCTTGATTCGACAAAATCGAATGGCAAATTAATGAATACAATCTCAGTCGTGTATAGCGTCCCACCTCAAAGAGCGTCACGTAGCTCCTAGGAATCTAACAAAGTGAAAGACTAAATAACAATATGTAAATACAAACAATTCACGTTCCTCGCGTCAAAAAGGAGAATCGTTAAAAATATATTCCAATTTATTTCCGAATCCGTAAAGATTTCGATAAGAAGAAAAAAAAAAACGAGTCATCAAAAGGCGTTTCTCAGTATTGGTGTTCATCGTGGAGCGTTGAAGCCGTCCAAATTCGAGCAAGTTTTCCTCAACTCACGGTATTGTAAGATACCTTATATTAAACCGTAATAAAACTCCCTATCTCTAATATAATTTCGCGTCCTGGACCAATCTAAAGCGGCAGACAGACACATCGCATTTTTTCGGTCCCGTCAATATATAGTGCGTGACATTAATGTGTGTGACTCCATGTGACGGCTTAAATTAGCTTAGCAGGGAAAGCCCTGGAATTATAAATTATCCTCAACCGTGTAAACTTTTCAAGATAAATGCTTGTGGTTCATATTTATTTATGAATAAGAAATTAATAACTAATTTCAATATTTATAACTGTATCGAAAGCATCAATCAATCATCAATTATAACGTACAAGTCTCTGCACAAAGATTCAATGTTGAAGTCCATTAATCCATTATAAGTTATAATAATAAAGCAAACATTAAATATCATATATTACTGTTTTATTATAATTATGCATCTTTCTTGCATTATATATTGATTATAAGTATACGATCGGACCCGACAGATGTCCCGTATACAGTTATAAGGCCGAAAACAACACACACGCACAGAAGAATTTTTGTCTATAATAATTTTGAACAAAAAAAAAAAGCCGACTTCGAACAGGAAACTAGAAACATTGTCAACACCTATAACATTTGAGGATTGCCCTCGATTTCTCTGGGATTCCATCATCAGATCTGGATTTCCTTATCATGGTACCATAACCGGCCTGACACTGTGAACCGAATTGAGAAACCTCCTCCTTTTTGAAGTCGGTTAAAAAGGTGCATATTTAAGACATCTTTATAGCACCCAAATAGTTTGCCTAATACGCATTGAACGCCACCGAAAGCTTTGTAAATATAATGTATACATTAATTGTATACAGAAAAACAATCAAAATCGTTTGGGTGACGTAACTTAGTCGTTGGGAAACGTCTAATAAATAAATAATCATGTGCGCTCGCCCTAACGCGAGCGGCGGCCGCGCGTCGGCGCTGTCGATCAATCGATAGGCGGGCCTGTTGCCAAGCAACGATCATGTTGCAAAATAAACAATCAGGAACGGGGCACGGCCGTGAGCAAATTTACCCTCTTCTTTTATTACTCGCGTAAACATTTTAGATCGATATTATCGCATTATTTCCGCCCCTTTGTGTCATGTTTTGATTGTGTCGCGCGATGGTTTTGCTACCGCCGTGCGTGCCGGACTCGTGCGGGAAGGAGTTTCGCCAGTCGCTGAGGCAGCCGAGCCCGAACTATCCCCATGGCCAGAAGAAGAGGAAGCCGCGGGTCGTGCCAGCCTTCACGATACAGGCGATGCAGAGGAACACCAGGGTGGCGCCGCCGCCGAAGTGCGGCGTTTACGACCCGCTGCCGGCGAGGCCGACGATGTTCAGGAAGTGCTACCAGAGGGGCGAATTCCCTGTCTGCATAGAGTTCACTTCCTGTGGGAAGAAGCTCTCCTGGAAGGTAACTCACCTCACTTTATCCGATGTCCGCTTTTGTGGATATTTGACGTGAACGTATTTATTGAGAAACGTCAATACGGTCTATATACTTCATATTTTTAAATATATGATTTAGTTTGTAGAAAAAATAATTGGGAACAATTCGTGGAAAATTGGATTTCTTTTTTAGTCTAAAACTTATTTGATCTAACAGAGAAGATAAGCCGTTAAAAATAAAAGCGTTTTTTGTGTAAGAACCAGTACGCTGATATTTTCAACAACGAACTGTAAGTAATGATATTTAAACCTCAAATTCATTATAGAAATCGCGGATTGATCGTGGATTGGATTGGATCATTAGTGAACATTATATAAAAACCGGCCAAGTGCGACTCGGACTCCCACACTCCGTACCATTATCTATAAAAACGGCAAAAAAAAAAGTCATGTCTGTTGACCCACTTAATTTTTTCTTCGGTTTTTTTATTTTTTTTTTATAGCGGCAACAGAACATTATATTATGACATATATAATTTCTGAATGTGACAGATGATATAGAACGTGTGATACGGAAAGAGATACCGTAGTCTATAGAATTAGAATCTTATTAAACCAATTGGCGTAACATGAGTGCCTCAGTTTCGGTGCGTTAGTGTCATATCCACCTCGTATTTTTATGTATAAAATCTTTGAATTTAACTTAATTTGATTTGATTTTAAAGGTAATAAATGTTCTTAGACCGTATTGTCTGGTGGGTAATTATAAAACTAAATCAACGTACAATCATTGGGAATACAATATTTACACCCTGAAATCGACAAATTTTTAAATAACCCAAGGTTTAAAAACACAAAACTTATTCTTACAAGTAATGATGAAATAAATAACATGAAAATAACGACTGTGAATCAAGAATGGGAAACAGTGAATGATGGCGTATAAGTTTCCAAGATTTGGGAAAGTTAAAATATTCCTATATCAAATACAGGAATCCAAGTATAAAGGCATTGTATCCGATCGTTGCGTGAAATCAAATTAGCTATGCTTAGAACTGTCAGCAATGGAAATTCTCTACTCAGCCCACGTCGACTGTTCTTAAATGCAAATGTGAAACACCACCATATCCTTATGCACAATAGTAGAGCAAGACAAAACTTGTAATGTATTTAAATTTGTTCGTACACCTGACTTTTCAATTCCGTAATCGATTTTCTTTTTACTGAGAAGGTGGGAAGCGAGTTTAAGTATTAATCGCCGCCCATTGATATTTACATCACCCGTCGGGTTACAGATATATAATGAAGTATTAACATTTGTCATTTAAAACAATACCATGTACCGCATAACTTAAGTTTCTTCATGGATTTTACTCTTTTTTGTCTTGCCTAATAAAATTACAATCTGCTTTTCTTTAATCTTAATTTATTTAGTAATAAGTAAGCCTAACGATATTTTGTTCATACTTTTCGTTTAACTTTTATTAATTTTTTTGTTTTAATTTTTAAGCATGCTATGTTTGCCTCTTAATTAGATGTACATTAAGTTGTAATATTAATTTATGTTTCATGTATATTGTTTTTAATGTAACATCTACTGGCAGACCTAATAAATAAATAAAAATAAATAAAAGTAGGCCCCGACTACCTCACTTATCAGGTGAAACTCAGAAGCAGAACACTTCCACTTCACGCCTAACTTCTTTGAGGTCCTGGGACCGACCCAGACCGACCCGCTCATTCGTCTAACAGAAGACTTGCCTGGCCCTGCCACAGCTAAAATGCATAGTTTCTGTTCTAGGTGCCTGTAGAGAAGTTGGACTTTCACCATTACCTGCCAATGTTCTTTGACGGGCTCGCCGAGGGCACCTACCCCTTTGACTTCATCGTGGAGCAAGGGATTAACGACTTGATCACCAAAGGCGCCTATAAAGTGCTGCCTGTTGTCCCTCAGCTGATTATTCCGATCAAAAGTGAGTGCAACTTATTTTACTGTTAATCGAAAAAGGTACACTCCCTAAAGGTAGATGTAAACATCTTTCTTCATTTAAGTTTCTTCCGGACTTTGAACTCCAAAAGGCATTGTAATCTATATTTGATTATATATAAGAAATATATGAAGCTGGTCTAAAATTGGCAAAAGCCAAGTAAGTTGAGAGCAGGAGATATTACCAATATCACATACTTTGTAAATTTATAAATAGCGTGAATAGAATTTAAACTGAGACGCATTGGTATAACAAACAACGTAAAGGCTATCGCATGTGTAATATAGGTAATAACATAAATGTTTAGAATTAAAAAAAAAAGACAAGGTATTGTTAATAAATCAATGATAATTTTGACATTGAATCGACAAACAAAATAGAAGGGAGCCAATACTAAATAGAAGACACAATATCGCTGCGAATAAGTCTATCGGATTGCGATGATTGAACGGAAACGTACGGAGACAATGGCGCTGGGACAAGCGCTGCAAACGGTAGAGATGTTGAGAAATATCACCGGCGAGCTCGCCGCCCCCACGCTGCGGAAGTAATGCGAGCCATTTGTACAGACGCGTTCGCGACAAAGCGGCCCGCCGTCCTGTGCCACGCTCTCAGATGCATCCAGATGCTGGTGACCGGCTGCGACCGGGTTGGCGAGGCGCTCGTCCCCTACTACAGGCAGATATTGCCCACGCTCAATTTATTCAAGGACAGGAACCGTGAGTAGAGACAGGAACCCGCCCATTCGTGTATTACGTACGGAGGATTTCGCCCGCGTTTTCATGCGCTTTATCCGTTAGATGTGCTCGATAAGCGCCACAGATAATATCGAAGCAAATCTTCGAGGAATGTATTCATAATGTTTTTATTCATATTCAAATATCTTTGTTCTATACATTTGCATTACTCTTACATATTGATTGTCAAAACGTTTAAATAATCATGTATATTTTAATAGCCTCTATCACACAATCTTGCCTTTGCAATTTTTTTGAATTTAGCATTTCATACATTGTGGATGTTTTCTGAGATTTTGTGACCGTTTATATATTGTCCCATAAAAAAAATGATTTTTATACGCAGTCTAATTGTGCTGTCCTCTTCTTTCGCACAGATTTTAAAAACTAACAGATTTAAATACTTTATATTTCTGCTGCAGTTTGTCATGGTAATCATTATCTCTTAACTAATCTTCGCTGAACATTTTTGTATTAAATGTAGTTGAATAACGCTGCACCACGAAATACTCAGCAGCAAGAGGGTCTAAGCTTCCAACAATATATGTTTACGGGTTTCGAGCTAAATCAATTATAACATGCGATCCGTTTAGAAATATAATAAACATTTAAAACAGAATTAATACAATTGTCATTCGTTGTTAGGCTATCTCTGTATATTAGACGCCAATGTTAGGAAGTTTTTTCTTATGAAAGAAATTACAAACTTTTTTGAAAACCCACCGTAATTGCTACAAATCAATTTTGTGTTATCAGATTAGTAATTAATTAGTTGAAGCTCATCTATGAGAAATTTATGATGAAAATAAAAACAATTTTACATTTTTTTTTTTTAATTTCTTTCCGCTACTTAGTGAATAACATGATCGAAAATGTACATAGATATTCAATATACGTATGTGAAGTATTTATCGCCAGCGTAAATTTCAATCTCGTACGGAGTACAAGTATAAACGTTCTGTTATTGGATTTGCTTTGTGGCAACGTTATTGATTACAACTGTAATAGCAAGTTGCAGTAGAGCTTCATTTGTATCGACAGTTCTACGCCAGTGGCTCAAAGTAACATGTGTTATGCGTCTGTATTCAATTAAGCCCAGTATCAATGATACGTGTTTGAAACAGTCTCCGATTATGTTTGCATGATAATGAGTAGGGGCAGAACGATTTATGCTGTTTCAATTTATATTTATAACTGTTCAATACGAATCACCAACGAAATAATTTAAGTTTAAAAGCATACAACTGTTTTCGATTAAAAAAAACTCACGTTTTAACATAAGATACTGTTTTCTATTCGTCTTTTGGTTAGAGTTCATAATATTTTTAAAAATTATTATAAATTACAATATATTAAAATGGATAGTATTTAAACCTAGTTTTCATCTATCTACATAAGCCATAATCATGTCACTTCTTTATATACCTATTTAAGAACCAAATAGCGAACATTTTTGAAATGAAATGTGTAAAAGGAACTTAGATATTTTGGCCCGAAGAGCAAGTATTATATACAATTTTTGCCATATATTAAATTTAAAATTTAATATTAAGTTTTCGCAAAGAGTAATGTTTTAACTTTATGTGAAGTGTCGCGCTCTATAAACACCGTGTTATTTGCGACAGTAACTGCGCCTTGGTATAGTATGGCGAAGAAAACGATGCCCCTAACCTCAGCCCCAAGTATTTGACAACGCGAGAAATGGGAGAGCTTTGGAGAAAACAAACGCGCGACTTTTAAGTCACTTCATCTACGGAATATGTCTGTTTAGTGCCACGCAGCCGCTGATATTGAGCACGAATGGTCAGGCTCGACGAGTTACAGAAGGCTTGAAGGGGAAGTATCATATTTGTACGTTTCGTCTGGTGAGTGAGCACTAGGAAATGCAACTGCGATCCTGGGTATCGCAGATGTCCGTGGGCGGGTAACAGTACAAATTTTCATTATTCATCAATAAAAGGCTGGAATATTTTACATACGGATGCATTGACCTTGAGACCTATGAAGAACCACGGTTGCGTAGAAGACTGTTGAGTCTTCTGCACGAATGCGAGAGGTCCGTTCGTACCGTAAGTACCATGACCTCAAATAAGACCGGTGTGAAGTGGAAGTGATATAATTTTGCGTTTAGTCTTGTAAGCGAGGTAGCCGGGGCCCACTTTATTATTAGGCGACAGCGCATCTGTAATCATGCGTGTGTTGCGAATGTCAATGGGCGGCGGTTGTCGCTTCACATCAGGTGTTCACAGCTCAGGTGCCACCTACTCACATAAAAAAGCATCGTATCGATTGCGACCAGTCGCACGTTTGTTCGCCGCGTCACCGGTCCGGTGCGCGCAGAATTCGCGTGACAATGCCGCCGGGCGTGACGCCCCGAATACGTCCCAACGCCTTCGCCGGCGTCGGCGTCGGCGAGTAATTAATCTCCGGCGACGCAACGACAAGTCCATTATGTCGGTAACAATGCCCCCATTGGACGGTATCGACACGCGCGACGCCACACGTGCCATACGATACGAAGCGTCGGTTGGTTTCTGGGCGTTGATATTACGATTTTTACGCGGCTTCTTCGTGATACATGATTAGAGATTGCACCAACCTTTTAATAGGCCACTGATACATTTTGCCTTGACTCGATTCACGCTCTAATTATTTTGACACGGAAAAATTTCCAAATCCATGATTTGAACCGCTAAGAGCAATTATATATTTATTTGTTTAGCCAGATATTGTTTCGAGAAAAAAATAAGTTAAAGAATGAGTAATTATCATTTTACTTGCGTGGTGTGTGATGTTAATGTATGTTACATTTATGTTTTTGTGAACATATTACTGTTTATTTTGCATGCATTAACAAGTAAACAAAACGATAACTGCATATAAAGTAACTGCTTCGATAGAAGTTATATGGGCGATAATTACTTCGTATGTCCAGGTAACATCGGCGCTGGGATAGACCATACGACATCGCGCGGCGAGAATGTTGGGGACATGATCGAGGATACACTGCAGATCCTCGAACGCTACGGCGGTCCGGACGCGTTCATTAACATCAAATACATGGTGCCCACGTACGAATCCTGCGTGCTTAATTAGCTCGGACTGTACCAGGGAAAGCATATTTGGAAAAAAGTGCAACGACTATAGATTTCGGAAAAACTTGCTGTTTTAAAAGATCTCACGTGGAAAAGTTCTCCATTTAGTTTTTTTTTTCCCATAGAGCTTCAAAATCTCAGTTTAGAATTTACTCGTTTTGGGTTGTTGCTAAATTTTTGGTGACTTCCGCTTTATTTCAAGTGACATACAAATTCTCATTTAATTAGCTTATTATCACAGAATAATATTGTTACTCGTTAACTATTAATAAATTTATACTTGTTTTGTTTAAGGTTTAGTTGTGTTATTGTTTTGTTTATTGCCTTGTTATGTTATTAAATTGTCTTTATACTTGTGATGTTTTCATTATGACTTTATAGCTTTTTTTTTATGTGAAATGTTGCCAAACGAGCAGACGGTTCACCTGATGGTGAGTGAATACCGCCGCCCATGGACATCTGCTACACCCGAGGATTACAAATGCGTTGACAACTTTTTGAAAATTGGGCTCCGGCTACCTCACTCACCAGACGAAACGCGTAAGTATTTGTCATACTTCCACTTTACGCTGGACCTCTGTGAGAACGTGGTACTTACTCGGACGGGCCTGCCCATCCGTGCAACAGCGGAGGCTGCTGCGTGGCCCTACCACCGTAGAATATTACTTTATTTATATTATCATATTGTATTACTCGATAAAAATGGAAGTTTTTTTGCAAATAAGTTGTGACCCAATGACAAGTTATCTCCTTGTAAAACAAGTACGTCATGGGTATAGAACCAACAACATTGCCAAAGTGAGCACGTAAACTATTGAACAGTCTGTTAAGTTAATTAGTCTCCGCGGACAGACATCTCGGTAATTTGCAAAAGAAAAAAAAGTTGTGTTGCTTAGTTATTCTTTAATGCAAAAGCGCAAGACAATTCGCCCACTCTACAAAGATTGTGTACCGAGTTATAATATAAAATGTTTTCTTCTTTTAAATTTAACTTATTACTCTTGTGATTGGATGCGCTTTTAGACCTCACGGGGCGGACAAGTTTACTATGCCTATGAAACTTTGAGTGAGCTTATTAACTATAAATAAGTGATAGGTGAAAAGTTTGTCACAGTTAAACTGCAGAACGTAAAAAAGAACAAAAGGACGAAAAGTGTTTCGATATCTGCGGGAATCGAACCCACGTCTTTCGGATTCACGCCCACGCAGCCCAGACGCCCAGTGGTTATAACCACTTAGCTAATCGGCTGATTGCCACACCGACGATAATCGGAATGTCCTTTCTTTCATTGCTTCTAACAGTTAAATAAATAATCACGCAATAACTACGAGCGCAATAACAACTGCGATACCGTTGTGTTATTTATAGGGCGGATAATTATTATTCTACTATTGCACGTGGCTTTGTAGTCAACAAGGGTATTGCTTTTATTAACGCGGCCGCAGATTCAGTGATAATACGTACCAGAGCCCCATGGGAGCGTCACGTCAATATTTGGATCAACCGGAGCCAAAGCAATTTACAAGCTGCGGAGCGGAATTCTGCATCTATGCATGCATGTATGCATGCAATTTGCATTTCAAGTTCCTTCAGTTTCGGTGCGGCTAAAACGTATGCATGCAAGTTGTTTGCGAGACTCTCGGGTCTTTATTGCTCGTCCGGGTCTTTGTGATGTTTTGATTAGTCGGGGCGCGCCGCATCGGCGGGAATGGGTAGGAATGTCGGCCGTTGAACTATTTATATTTCGGTTTTGTGAGGATCATCGTCATAAAGGAATTTAGAATTAGCTGTGTAGTGAACCTTTGTTGGAAGAAAATGTACTAGACAGAAGTTGTCATAAAATATAACTCGGTGGTGGTAAGAACTAAAAAAACAAAACATGATCTCGAACCTTTAAATGATACATATAGCCAACTCAGTTTTTGTCTTAATTAATATGCCCATCAGATATCAATCTAAACGTCATATTTTCACTTAAGCAACACTGGGCGAATCACTCTCCAGGTCTTCAGATTCATTGTCATATATTACTGCCATTTAAACACACTGCTTTAATCTGAGAAGAGGACAGAGCTTCTTTTCAGCCACTCCTCGCGTTTCTCCGAGTTCCTGTTAGACTTGAGCAGGTCGAATTTCTAAGAGTATCTGACGGTGAATCGATCATCCCTTCGATTATCCATTCCATCGAAGTTAAACATACAGCATTAATAATTCAAAAAGAGAATTATAATTCAGAGCTCGGTTAGTTCTTTAAAGAAATTTTTGTATGACGCATTTCGTGCATGACGCTTGAGTCGATTTTTTTTTCTCACGCTTGAAAACTCTTGCTAAATAATCAAAATCACGTTTGCTTGTGTTGGCGCTGGCAACACTGTATACCGGTTATGACGTTATCTACTCGAGCCAAAGGACACATGGTCGCATGGAGGAGTGGTCACTTGGATTTCGTCGTTGTCGTTGTAATAGTTGTTAATATTCAAATTCAGTAATAGTTAAAATATTAGGATCAAGGTAAAAACGTTAGAACTCTTATAATTGCAATAAAAATAATTTCTTACTGCGAAACAAGTATCTATCGAAAAATGTTTATAACTATGTTTTTGTAAGATTAAACTTTATCGATGCTTGGGGAGGACTATCCCTCAGAATGTTATTTCATGTTAAAAAATGGCGCCAATGACTTTGATGAATCACATTTCCCATCTTAGTACAGGACAGAGAAAAGCTCTTTATAGTATTAAGAGATTCATCTACTTGCATCTTCTGTTTTTTTTTGTACCTTATATATTTTGTAGCTTATTGTTTCAGTATAAAAAGCCAGATATATTTTTTTATTGAATACTTCTAGATATACAAATTAAGCCGCTATAAGCTCCCTAGGGGTTTAAATGGTAAGGAAGAAACGTTAGGAAGCCGTTATTATATAGTGAAACGGAGTAATAGCATTGTTGGAAACCATGGTCACTGATTTCAACCCGAGCGGCAAGCATAAACTCATATTCCTTTTTTCTCATTATAATGTGAAACAGCCACAAGTTTTATGATTAAAAAAGCTTCGTAAAATATAACATCAGCAATGTATGTCTACGTGATTAGAGTTATTAGTACCTGGAGGACCGAGCTTTGTTCGTTTTTTTTTTTGGTAAATCATATATTTTGGAAATAAAAAAAAAATAAAGAAAATGTGTGTAAATGATCGTGACGAACCGCGGTCGTCAGTTTTGGGGCCGCCCGATTACCGACCGAGCTATTATAACATTTTTTTTTCCGGCGAAATTTACTGTCATATTCGAATAATATTTTTCATTCCCCGAAAACAGGGATAAAAGGACATTTTCTATATACAACAATTGCTCGTTTAAAGGATAAGATTTGCGGAACATATTTTTTTCTTATTTTTATATTTGTATTGATACTAATTTTAAATTATTCGAAATTTCGAATTCGAAGGAAAGCTGAGGCAGGTAGCTTAGCAATTTAATTTAATCTTAACATAGAAAGCGTAATGAAACTAAAAACTAAAACTGAAAATTCCTACATATATGTTAGTACCAATTTTATGTTATGTTACTAACATTTAAATGTAAGTTTTATTTAAAACTAGCGACCCACTCCGGCTTCGCACGGGTGCAATGTATTTTATACATATAAACCTTCCTCTTGAATCACTCTATCTAGTAAAAAAACCGCATCAAGATCCGTTGCGTACTTTTAAGGATCTAAGCATACATAGGAACAGACAGACAGCGGGACGACTTTGTTTTATGCGATGTAGTGATAAGATGACCAATGCGAAAAAGTAAAACATGTGATGAAATACATTTGGTTTCTGAGATGTAATGGCGCGTTTATATTACTATATCTAAGAATGAAATCAAGATTAAAATAGAATGCAATCTACTCCAGTTGCTTGAAAGGTCTCCGTCTCAAATAATTTATCTTGGGGACAATCAAGACGGTAATTTACGTGAACAGTGCGCTCCGAAACTATTTCAGCCTCGTCTTGAGTTTCGTCGCTTTTGGCAAATTGTATTCTTTCACCAATCGTAAAGAATGTAATTAATGTATAATTTCAGCTTCAGAATATTAAATGGAACAGTGATGTTCATTTTTGGCTTAGGTTGTACCCTTTTGTGTAATTACTCTCCTGCGCTAATAAAACACCTTTCGCCTTGTAATTAACCAATAATACCATGAAACATCCTCCCCGACTCCACCAGTGGGAGATCGGTGTAGGGGTTCGATCCGGCTGACTCAATCGGACCTATCGAGACTACAGGGTGAGGTTCGGTGACCCAGTCACGGGGACGGACAGAATTTATATTAAATAGGCGCCAGCCCGCCCCGTGCAAGACAGAATAATGCTTATTCTAAGGGATTTACTTAGTGGAAATAAAAGATATATTCCTTAACAGTTTTACAATTTATTGATACAAGATTTGAAATATAAAGCTAAACTATATGAGGTTAAAAATATTGAAAGGAGTGAGATCTCACCAATCAGGCATAATTATATCAAGATTAAGATTTGGGAGTACATTGGATTAATCACCGTTACATAGCAGTATATAAACACAATCATCAGTTTAATGGCTAGATACAGATTAGAGCAAAAACATACCAGAAGGAACCTGGCTTGCCTTCCTAGTTTCCAAATAAGTGTGAAGACCTCAGCTCAGCAGTCCTCACATGCCACCGAGGGGCATTCAGCTAGTCCGCAGCTTCAAGTTACACGTGGACAGCAGGACCTCAGATTCTTAATATATATGCAGTTCCATATTAGGCGAACACGCGGTTCGATATCAAGCCATCAGAGAAAAGCAGATCAGCGAGATAAAGTAGAATAGAAAAAGAAAGAGAAACCAATAAAAAAAAAACCCTGTAACAAAATACGAATTGTTAGCAGACGAATAATGGACCGAAAACAGACAGATCCCAAAAATATATGCACAAAGGAAACTTACCAACGATGTGGGTTTTTTATGCTCGGGATGACA